TGGTGAGAGGGAAGGGATTCACGTACAAGTGAGGTGACTGGAACTGAGTCTTGAAGCACCTCGGGTTGATTGCATCACAGCAGCTGTTACACGCCAAACAAATGCCATGCCATGCCATGCCATGCCATCCACCTGACTGCCATCCACCAGCATGCCATGCCAGCTCACCCTGAATGGAGACAAACTCGAGGTGCACGAGGGCGGCAAACGCCTCAGCATGGACAAAAAACTCCGCCCGGCTGGCATCGGGCGACCGCTTTATCGTCAGGAACTTGAGAATCTGCAGATTGAGTGGCAGAGGGGGAAGAGGATTTAGGCTTTAAGGTTCAAAGACTGTGGTTCATGGTCGGAACAAGAGGATTTGCGATGTGAGTTGCTGGCAGCATAATGTGTGACCTCTGAGAACTCTCAAAAGTGGCACAAATATAGCTGGCTGGCTGGCTGGGAGCATGACATGCCCGGGAAATGGGACAGCACCCACACCACACCACCTACCTTGGGGATTAGCATGTCTCTCATCTTGACGTTTGCAGCGCCGGGTAACCTGCGATCCACACGTGTGTGTCCTACCCTGTAGACATTGTACAGTTACAGACAGCACCCACACCACGTACCTTGGGGATTAGCGTGTCTCTCATCTTGACCTTGGCAGCGTCGGGTAACCTGCCGTGCCGGCCACACACACACACAGGCAGGCAGCCAGAAGGGGAATGAAGCGCAGCAACACACGATGCTGGTTGACCGGTATTCCTGGTCGCTTCAGTTTCCTGCAGAATTCCTTGGAATAAAGGACGGCATGCACTGGTGGCGTGGCGACCGCTAGTCTGGTGGGAGGAAGAGTGGCCTTTCACTCACTCACTCACTCACTCACTCGCTCACTCACTCCCTTTCTCAATCGTCCCACTCACCGTGGCACCAGACGCATGAAGGGCACAACGCTGATCTTCTGAGCGAGCAGGTCCGTTTCAAACACCACGTGCAGGAATGCTGCAACGAACGCATCCAAAGGATCCTGTGGTAACCAGACAGGCAGGATAAAAGGTTATAAGTAAGGTTAGGAAGTGCCTTAAGTCCGTTTCAAACACCACGTGGAGGAATGCTGCCACAAAGGCATCCAGGGGGTACTGTGGTGGTAACCAGACAAGCAAGCAAAAGCTGGGATTTATTCAGGGTTCAGGTTTGACACATTCACGTGGCATCAACCGTTTCAAACATGATGTGCAGGAATGCTGCCACGAGGGCATCCGGGGGGTCCTGTGGTAACCATGCTCGCAGGGTTTAGGGTTTTAAATTGAAACATCAAAACATGGAATTATGCCCCATAGGCATCCCAACAGTGCAGGTTGGTGATTGCAGAATGGGTAAGGGGGTAGTGGGTAGTGAATAATGAGAAGTGGGTATTTGGCACTGGCAGTGGGTAGTGGGTTAGGAGTCAGGAGGAGACTGGGAAGAAACATGAAGGCATAAGGAATTCTACTGATGCCCCCCTTGCAATCACAATCACAAGCACAACGCACAAACCTCATTGGCCTTCGCCCCATCCAAAGCCCCTTCTTTCTCCTCCCCGTTTCCGCTTCCGCTCTTGCTCCCGCCCCCACTCCCGCGCGCGTCCCGTTTCTCCCCCGTTCCCCGCCCCCCTGCGCCCTCCCCCAGCAGCGTGCGCACGTCCCGCGCAACCGAATCTAGCTCCGCGGGGTCGCGCAGGCGCGCAATCAGCGCCTCAAACACGGGGCGCAAGTTGCGCGCGCGCACATCGTCCGCGATCGCCCTGGCCGCGGGCGCGCGGAGGGTTCGGGGGGGAAAGGGCGCGGATATGGTAAGCGGAGGCGTAGTGCTTGTCATGCCACTGCGCGCTACGCCGCCGCGGAGGAAGGCGGGGGGGTGGGAATGGGGACAGGCGCACTGGGGGGTTGTGCGGAAGGGGCGCACTTGAGGGGCCAAATGTTTTGGTGCTACTGGGTAGTGACTAGCGCTGCCACGTGGTGGATGCTTGCGCCGCCACGTGGCATCACTCACCTGAGGGCGCTGAAGAGATGCGTCGCGAGAGGAATCTCCTCCGCACTCACATCCACTTCTATCACTATCCGCATCTTGCCCTTCGGTGTTGTCGCTACTGGGAGACGGACCGCAGGAATTAGCCCAAAACAAAGAATGTCTCGAAAATTGATTGTCTTCAGCAATCGCAGCACGGGAACATTGTAACTGTGATGGTGACCTATATGCAAAAGTCGATCAGTCGCAGAAGCAAAATGGGGCGAAGGAATAATTAGAGGTAGCAGATTAGTTGTGGTTTTGCCGCTTGTTTGCCTAGGGGGGCTTGACTGAAAGCTAGTTCAATTGAGTGCACCTCGTTACAGCACAAAATGTTGCTATTTTTCTACACAGTTTGCAAGAGCGTTGTGTATACAAATGTGTCTCTACGGTTTGCTCTTGAGGCGCATGACGTGGAGGATGAGCAGATTACTACTGGTGGATAACACCACCAGCCGCATGGCATGCATCTATTGGTGTTTATCCACACACGACAGCACGTGGTAGCTCGCTTCACGCAGCGCATGCGATATTTGTGTCCAATCCGTGGCGGACTTAGAGGCGATTCGCACACAAATGGCATGCAGCAACCCGCTTCCTCACAATATGTATCTGGAAGAGAAAAAATATATTTCTGATTAGCTTATAAGCATTATATTCCACTGCTTCAGCTGGATTTTACAACCACAGGAGATCCTCTAAGTCTGCCCTATCGACAAACTCTCAGGGAAGCTAGAACAAATAATTCCTCGACCGAACGGGGGTTTCACGTTCTGGCGCAAGCCTGTTCCCAAGGTTCCGCCACCATGAGAAAACGCGGGAACGAGAAATGCGTCAGCCAATCGGCAAGCCTTCCCTGTCACACCCCTTCATCCTCGCGCTCCCCCCCCAATCCTACGCCCACCAGCATCATCGCCCCCACCACGATCTCCACTGCTTGATCCTGGGTCCTGGGTCCTGGGTCATTCTCAGAAACCCATTCCACCGCATTATGTTTGAGAAATAATGTATCAGAACGCAGAAGAACGAACTCAACCGCAATAAACTAGAGGCTTATGATTCACCCCAGGCTGGCTGGGACTGATCATAAGCAGATCAGGCAACAATTTATTTGCAAATTTTTGGAGAGTGTGACAGTTTGACCAGCAGCTAGAACCATCACGCCTAGCATTTTGCTGGTTTCTGCATTGCTTGGCGAAGGAATTAGAGGCATAAATTTAGTGTACATTTTATTCTACCGTGACATTTTTTCCCGTGCTTGTTGCTTGACCTGCCATGGCTACGCTACGCGTCGCGTCCTCCGCAACTGCAGTCGGAGTATCACCGTGTGCGGTTTCCGCGACCAAGCAGCAGCACGCTCAAATCTCCTTCCTAAGCACGGTGAAAACTGCTCCGCTAAGTGCAGCTTCTTATCGAAGTGCAAAAACCATTCTTTCGCCAGCATTGCGACCCACAGCAGCCTTCTCAGATAATTCTTCTTCCACCTCGCCGCATCGCCGTTCCCTCTTACGCTCGGAAGCAGCGATCGAGAATCGCGAAGCTTCGTTGAGCAAGCGATCAGCGGTCGTGAGGCGGAGCGGCGATGGCGAAACGGCGGACGCGGCAGAAGGCGACGCGAAGAGCCAGCTGATTAAAACGATTCAGCTGGGATCGCTGTTCGGGCTGTGGTACCTCTTTAACATCTACTTCAACATTTACAACAAGCAGGTAAGTTTTTTTTTTTGCGAATTTTTGCCTAATTTCGATTACATCCAAGGCGATCTAGCTACTTGAAGGAATGTGGAATCTTTTCCATCATTCACAACACGACCATGTGTTTCAACCATTCACGCCTTTTGCATCTGTTGATTTTACATCTTTACAATCTGGTGAATCTCTCAATGCAAGTTCGAAGATGTGAAATTGTGGTAATTGCAGACGAAGAGGCTGGATGCTAATTTAAGGTTCTGAAATTGTTATTTTTTCCGGCCCCCATTTGCAGGTGCTCAAGGTGTTCCCGTACCCGCTCACCATCACGACGGTGCAATTCGCCATCGGCGCCATCGTGGTGCTACTGTCGTGGGCCACCAACATCGTCAAGCGTCCTACGATTTCCAAGGCACAGGTGAGACGCGCGCGGGGGAGAGACAGGCGCACAGGTGAGACAGGTGACCTTTGGGGCTCGACTCAAAGGTCACACGGTCGTGGCGCTGCTGTCGTGGGCCACCAACATCGTCAAGCGCCCCACAATTTTGAAGGCCCAGGTGAGACATGCATACTTGAGAAATGCGCAGCTGAGACGGTGAGACAGGCGACCTTTGGGTGGGCTTGAAAGGCACGGCGATCGTGGTGCTGCTGTCGTGGGCCACCAACATTGTCAAGCGCATCATCTTTCCAGGAGTTCGATTCCCCGATTATTTCCCTCCCTATACCCGCTCAGCCCCATCACCCTACCCCCATCGCCCCATCACTCTCTCCTTCACTCCTGACGCTCCTGGCGATCCTCCTTCTGGCTCTCGTGCACACCATGGGCAACGCCTTCACCAACGTCAGCCTGGGCAAGGTGGCCGTGTCGTTCACTCATCCCTCCCGTCCCCACCCACCACCTTATACATCCCCCTCTTGGTTCCCGTATTCCCCAGCTCCTGGCGATCCTCCCCCTGGCTCTGGTCCGCAGCGTGGGCAACGCGTTCACCAACGTCAGCCTGGGCAAGGTGGCCGTGTCGCTCGCGCATCCCTCCCCTCTTTCATCCCTCCAAACCCTCATGCTTCCTTTCAGCTCCTGACGATTCTCCCCCTCGACCTCGTGCACACAATGGGCAACGCCTTCACGAACGTCAGCCTGGGCAAGGTGGCCGTATCCTTAACTCAAACCCTTAACTCAAACCCTTCACTCAAGCCCTTAACCCCACCCCCTTACACACCCCATTCACCCCCTCTTGATCCCCTACCCCGCAGCTCCTCGCCATCCTCCCTCTAGCTCTCGTGCACACCATGGGCAACGCCTTCACCAACGTCAGCCTGGGCAAGGTGGCCGTGTCGTTCACTCACACCATCAAGGCGCTCGAGCCCTTCTTCTCCGTCACGCTCTCCGCGCTGCTGCTGGGCGAGGTGCGTTGGGGAAGGAGATCAGGGAAGCAGTTGGGTAAGGTGAGCGGGTCAGTACGAGCATGGCAAGGTGGCGGTGTCGTTCACGCACACCATCAAGGCGCTCGAGCCCTTCTTCTCCGTCACTCTCTCGGCTCTCGTCCTAGGCGAGGTGAGCCGCTGTGGGATTGGGGACGGGCGTTGGCTGAAAGTATGGGATAGGGAGTCCTAGGGAGCGGGTGGAGGGTGGTGGGGAGGGGACCAGGAGGGATGTTGAAGGGACGGGGCAAGGGGGTTTGAGCGAGTGTGACCTAGATGGTCCACACTCGGCGAGTGTTCTTCACGTGCACCACGGCTCTCCTGCTCGGCTTCCCTGCCCGCTCCCACACCCCTCCAGCAACCCACGCTGCCCGTCATCCTCGCTCTCATGCCCATCGTGGGAGGCGTGGCGCTTTGAGATCTCAACTGTCTCAAACCTCCCATCACCCCTCCCCACCCCACCCTGCCCCACTCCTCCCCCCTCCAGCAACCCACGCTGCCTGTCATCCTCGCACTCATGCCCATCGTGGGAGACCGTGGCGTTTAAGAGTTCTCAACTGTCTCCAACATCCCTTCACCCCTCTCCACTCCTCCCCACCCCTCCAGCAACCCACGCTGCCTGTGATTCTCGCGCTCATGCCAATCGTGGGAGGAGTGGCGCTCGCCTCGGCCACCGAAGCTTCCTTCAACTGGTGTGTACTGTGCTGTGCCGTGCCATGCCATGCCATCCCATGCTCATGCCATCCCATGCTCATGCCATCCCATGCCCATGCCATCCCATGCTCATGCCATCCCATGCTCATGCCATCCCATGCCCATGCCATTCCATGGCAAAAGTAATTGAATCCCGCATCACATCCTTTCCTGTGTCCGTGATTCTGCGGGCACGGCGGGTTGACTTTTGAGTCGACTCAAAAGTCATCCCGCATCACATCCTTTCCTGTGTCCATGACTCTCTGCGGGCACGGCGGGCTTCCTGTCCGCCATGGCGTCTAACTCCACTTTCCATCCACACCCCTTTGCCCCCTTCTGCACCCCTGTGCATCTCTCTGCGGGCAGGGCGGGCTTCTTGTCAGCCATGGCCTCCAACTTCCAACCTCACCTTCCATTCACACCCCTTCGCCCCGTTCTGCACCCCTGTGCATCTCTCTGCGGGCAGGGCGGGTTTCCTGTCAGCAATGGCGTCTAACCTCACCTTCCAGTCGCGCAACGTGCTCAGCAAGAAGCTCATGATCAAGAAAGACGTGAGAGCCCTCCCCTCCCTTCCTTCCTATGCCTTCCTTGCCCTTGTTCTTGTCCTACCCTTGTCAACCCTCTCACTCCTTGCCCCTGTTTGTGCTTTCCCCCGGTCGGTTCTTGCTGGACAATGTCAGCCTCCCGCTTCTCCCTTCTCCCTTTTCCTCCCTCCTCCCTTCTCCTCCCTTTCCCGCCCCCTCTCTTCTTCCCCCCAAGTGCTTCTTTGGCAACATAAACCTCTTCTCCATACTCACTCACACCATCTTCTCCTTCCCGTGTCTTCCATTCACCCTTCTTTCATGCTACTCGCCCCCTCCACTCGCCCCCTCCACTCGCCCCCTCCACTCGGCCCCTCCACTCGCCCCCTCCGCTCCCCTCTCCGCTCCCCTCTCCATTACCCTCTCCTCTAAATTACCCCACACCAGGCCTTGCTCGGAAACATAAACCGCTTCCCCATCATCACCATCCTCCTTCCTGTTCCTTCCATTCACCCGTCTTCCCTGCTCTTCTCCCCCCTCCTCCCCCCCAACCAAGCCTCTTTGGACAACATAAATCTCTTCTCCGTCACCACCATTCTCTCCTTCCCGTTCCTTACATTCAACCCTCTCCCTGCTCCTCTTCTCTCCCTTCCTCTCCCCCCGTTTCTCCCCCAACCAAGCCTCTTTGGACAACATAAACCTCTTCTCCGTCATCACCATCCTCTCCTTCCTGCTGCTGCTGTCCACCTCTCTGCTACATAACCCAGCCCGCTTCCTCCCTTCCTCCCCCCCTCCCGCCTCCTTTCCCCAGGCATCACTGGACAACATAAACCTCTTCTCCATCATCACCATCCTCTCATTCTTCCTGCTACTGCCCTCCTCAATGCTGATGTTTCCCATTCCTGCCCGTGTGCTCTCCCGCCCACCCCCTCTCCCCCCCACCAGGCATCACTCGACAACATAAACCTCTTATCCATCATCACCATCCTCTCCTTCTTCCTGCTGCTGCCTTCCCTTCTCTCCCTGCTGCTTCCCTTCCTGTCTCGCCCACACCCCACTCCCCCCCACCAGGCGTCACTGGACAACATAAACCTCTTCTCCATCATCACCATCCTCTCCTTCTTCCTGCTGCTGCCCGTCGCGCTGCTCACAGAGGGCGTCAAGTTCAGCCCCAAGCTGCTGCAGGCGCAGGTAAGGCTTTAAGAGATGACGACCACCACCAATCCCATGTAAGGGCCTTGGGTCTTAAGTTGACTGTGCTTTCAGTCACCACACCACGTCAACGCTCCGAGATTTGAGACGTCTCAAAGCTCCTCACAGAGGGAATCTAGTTTTGAGGCGCCTCAAAACAAAACTAGATTTGAGACGTCTCAAAACTCCTCGCAGAGGGAATCAAGCTCAGCCCCAAGCTGCTGCAGGCACATGTACGAGCTGCTGTCATTGCGATGTGAGGCTTTCAGTGAGGACTGCTGTGCGAGAGCTGTGGGCATAGGCGTCAGGGCGTCAGCGTGTAGATGCTGCTGCAAGCCACCTAGAAACATGTTCTGAGCTTCCGCCCCTCGTTCCTCCCTCCCCTTCCCTATCCTCCCCGTCGTCACAACTCTCATTATGGCAGGGCTTGGGCATGCAGAGGCTGCTGCTAGCCACTAAAAAACGTGTTCTGTTCTCTCCCTCCCGTTCTTCCCCTCCTCCCTGTCTTCCCCTCCTCTTCCTTCGCCCCTTCTTCCCCATCTCCCAACCTGGATGGGAGTGGATGTGCAGAGGCTGCTCTTTCGATCCACCTAGTAACGTGTTCTGTGCCCTCTCTTCCCGTCTTCCCCACTCCCCTTCCTTTCCCCCTTCTTCCACCATCTCCCACACTCCTTGACAGGGAGTGGATGTGCAGAGGCTGATCATCCGATCCACGCTCGCTGCTCTCTGCTTCCACGCTTACCAGCAGGTACGGGTGCTTGTTCTCGCACCCCCCTCCTCCCCCCCCCCCCCCCCCCCCTTTCTCTCCAGCTGTCATACCTGATCCTGCAGTGTGTCTTCCCAGTCACGCACTCCCTGCCTCCCATTCTTGTGCCAACCTGTGTGCCCCTTCCCCCCATTCCTCCCTTTCTCTCCTCCAGGTGTCCTACACGATCCTGCAGCATGTCTCCCCAGTCACACCCATTCCGTTGTCACAGCCTGTCAATCCATTTTTCAATCCGCCTGTTCCCCTTCCTCTTCCCCCCCAACCCTCCCCTCTCCCACATCTCTCTCCTCCAGGTTTCTTACATGATTCTGCAGCGTGTATCCCCAGTCACCCACTCAGTCGGCAACTGCGTTAAGAGGGTTATCGTTATAGTCACTTCTGTGCTTTTCTTCCGAACACCCGTCTCCCCGATCAACGCTGTCGGTACGTGCTTAACAACTTACTATGTGCCAACACTTTTTGCAGTAACATCTGGCGTTAAGAGGGTCATCGTTATAGTCACTTATGTGCTTTTCTTCCGAACACCCGTCTCCCCTATCAATGCCATCGGTGCGTGCCTCACAACATCTTATATGCCAACACTCGTTACAGTCACACCTGTGTTAAGGAGGTCATCGTCATAGTCACATCCGTGCTCTTTTTTTTCTGAACCCCTGCCTGCCTCCCCCGATCAACGCTGTCGGTAAGTATTTGCGAGAGGGCAAGCAAACCCTCGTTACAGTCACATCTTGGTCAGAGGGATTTTGTTAGTGTCACATCTCTGTTCCTCTTCCGTACCCTCGTCCACTGAATCAACAACACCTGTACGTGCGTGCAAGAGGGCAAGCCAGCCTAATTCTAGCCATGTTTCTTGTAGTAGCGTAAATTAATTATGGTAATAGTAATAATAAATACAACTTCTGTTTATCTTGTCCTCCCCTCCCCCCTCTATCTCTCTGCGTGCAGGCACTGCGATTGCGCTGGGTGGTGTGTTTGCGTATTCTCGTGCCAAGTCCTCCAAGCCCAAGAGTGCATAGAGTCACCTTGCTTAAGTCTCAATAAAACCTTAGGTTCCCGTTTGAGATGAGACATAGTTTCTTCTTTGTTGACATGTTGTGTGTAGTGGGGGCGTTTCTCCCTTAATCCATGTAGTTGTTGCTGTTGCTAGCATGTAAAGACACTCTGGTATGTCCAATCAAAGTGAGCTTTACATTAGCATACACCTTGGTACAGTCTTAGGGAACAAACAAACGCACATACGCACATACAGTACAGTACCTTGGTACAGTACAACACATTGTGCACTTCTCGATTCACGCACACTACACAGCTTGCCTCGATCTATTTTTTAGCCTCGACTGGCACCTGTAGGAACTCCTGGTGCCAACTGTCAGGCGGACACTTTCAGGACAGGGCCGAGAAGGGACCCACCTGATCCAAGTGCAAACGTCTTCCACCTGAGATACCACCAAGAACCATGTTCGAGTTTTTGTGATGACAAGATGGGTAGCGTTGCCGCCCAAATATCACGGCGTGAGGAGTGCAGAAACTGGATTGGGTCTGTGGGCCATGAGACTTGTCTGGTCTGGTGGTTCACTTGATAGGGGAAACGTCATACCCTGAACATTTCGAGGCCTTGACAACCCTTGAGTGTTGGGGCAGACAGAAGTAGGACAATATGTTTACTATACGACTCCTAATTCGTTGATCTGCTAGTCTATGAGTATATAATGCAGCCTTAGTATATACTTTGGGTTATGGACCAAAGTAACATTGGCGGACCTATAGAATTTCTTGTGGGACGTCAGGGTAGATACATTTTAGATGCAGCTTGCGGTGCGAAATTGGACCAAGTTCGAAACACGGTCGCAAATCTTGTCGCTTCGCCCCATAGTGCTTCTTGGCGCGACGTGATGCCTTGTTCTTGTCACAGCCTTCTTGACGTTGCGGTCACATTTCGTTGACAATTTTCGGCTCCACCTGGTGAAATCACAGTACTATAGTCGCTTTTTTTCCCTGCTTGCTGTCTATTTTGGGTTACAACCTGTACAGAATAGGTGATACTTGTGAATGTTGGCAAGGGTTTCTGGTTTAGGGATATATCGCCTAGATACCCGAATTGGCCTGAATACAATGCACTATATTCTACGTAGAAAGGAAATCAGAAGTGTGCTTTGATTCCCTTCGTGTTCCAAAACGCTCTCCCTGATCCTGAATGTCTGTCATGCGACGCGACTTCGGAGTCGCGATTTCCAACCGCTTCGTTTCCTCCAGGCATTTCCAGGCTGTGACCTTCATCGCTTACCCAAATTCGAACATAAAATCAGCGCAGAGGCCAATTTACATCATCCTCGTTTCAGTGTGATCTCCCTTAATTGTCCAAGACCTGTGTTCACCGAAGGGGCTACTCCTTTCCGCCATGGCTTCCAACTCCGTGTTTGCTGCTGTGCTCCTCCTCGCTCTCTCCCTACCCTTCGTCCTTGCTGGAAACGCGGCTGGCGCGGAGCAATCGTCTCAGTCCAACTATCAGTACGACGCCAACGGCAACATTATCCTGTCTCCCGCGGGGACCAACAACCAGAACGGCAACGGGGAGGGCACATCCGCGGCCGTGATCGACTGGTACAACGACCAGGAGTACCCGACCTGCCCGCTTAAAGCCTGCCCGGAATTTAAGCACTATTGCTCGGGCGGCATGTGCAACGACACGGCCGGGATCCTTGGCCGCTGGAGGGTGAGTCTCGAATCTCGGATTCCTGAAGCTGCGACGGATCGGTAGTAAATGTCATGAAATTCTACTATTTTTGCCGCGCACCATGGCTGACCCCTTCATACGTCTCAATTCGTTTTCGCTTGTCGATTGCCTGAGTCTTGTTCCCTGAACACTCGGCAAAATATAGATTCTCGCCGTTTCTCTGAGCAATTGAGTCAATTTCGGTTGTGCTTGCTTCCACCCCTGCCACTGTCACCGTGCCGCGCAGCTCCCCGAGCAGTCCGAGGGCGTGTGCCCGCCGGGGCGCGCCCTCCCGAAGCCCAACAACGAGTGGTGCATGGAGGAGCTCACGCCGTCGCAGTGCTGCAAGGCGTGCTCTGAGAGCAAGGAGCCGTGCGCCATGTGGCAGCACTACATTGGGTGAGTAGATTCGCCAGGTTTTTCCGCGGTTCGGCCTGTTACTACGACGGCGGATGCGGGATCGGCACCGATGTGGTCAATTTTCACGCTCTGCTGTGTGTGCTGAAGTTTCACGGCAACCGAATTAATATTTCTCAATTCCTCGTTTTGTCGCTTTTCTGATTTGTCCTTTTCCAGAACCGTGAACCCATCCGGCAAGTGCCTCAAGTGCGGCATCTGCTGGCTGTACCCGCCCGGCACGGCGCCGCGGTGCGAGACGCAGCTGGACAACAACAACGGCTACCGCATCAAGTACAACTGCTCGCGCATCGGCGGCAGCTGCCCCTACACCAAGAACGACCCGCATTTCCAGGGCGCGCAGGGCACGCGCTTCGAGTTCAATGGCGCTCCGGAGAAGACTTTCTGTCTGCTGACGGATCGCAACGTGCACGTGAACATGCAGATGCGCGGATACTACGACACTCGCACCGTTGGCGCGACGGTTCTGCGCAACGGCAAGGCTGTGCGCACGTGGATCCGCGCGCTCGGGTTCGTGTGGCGCGCAGCGGCCGGGGAGGCGGAGCACAAGTTCCGCCTGGTGGCGCGCGCGGGGAAGCAGCAGGAGCGCGGGGACGGGTTCCTGGAGCTGGCGGAGATCGACGGGAAGGCCCTTCCGCGCATGACCAAGGAAGGGGAGTCAGTCTCCCTCCCCGGCGGCCTCACCTTCACTTATATCGGAGTGGAGACTGGCGGGCTCGTGAAGGACGTTTACCGTGTGACTATTGCGGGGCTTCTGGACATGGAGATCAAGCTGCGCGTCGCGCACCCTCTGTTGCAAACACCTGACGACGCCGAGGCGCACATCAACGTGGCGTTCGATGGCGTGGAGGCGACGCAGCAGGTCCACGGGATCATCGGGCAGACGTACCGCGAGGGGCGGGAGAAGCGCGCGATGGATTACAACACGCTCGCGCACGCGCTCGGACACCCCGTCGCGGCGGACGCGGCGGAAGGCGCGGGGTTCCTGGACGGCAAGACCGCGGACTACGAGTCTTCGTCTGTCCTCGCCGCGGATTGCAGATTCTCCGCGTTCAGCGGGAAGGCGCTGCCGCTGACCGAGTAGAATCGACTGAAGTGACTGCTGTATTCCGATGGGTCTCGTCGGACCTATCTTGTCCGTTGTACTGTATGACGTCACCGTCTTGGTCTCCTCGTTTTGCCTTTTCTGGTGGGCTGATACTCTTCTCTCTTTCGGTGGGCTGCTCTGCTCTTCCTCCTCGCTGCGTCTCGTCCCGGTGGGCTGCGTCCATTCTCTTCTCGGTGAACTGCAATTGTGCTGCGCTAATTGGTCGGCTGGTTCCGTTCGCCGCTTTTCTGGTGGGCTGCGTCTTTGTCTGTGGGCTGATTTCCCTGTCCTTTGAAGTGGAACCCGTGTTCCCTAAGTGATAGTATGCCTCATTGTTGAGCCATCTTTGAGCAATAAAACGCCCAGTTTCTCAGCCGATTGTCGTAACAATCAGGGTACGTGAACTATCTGGCATTGACGCTCACTCACTGTCTAAGGTAGCATAAATTGCCTGGGTAGGGAAGAGGGGAGACGAGAACTGAAAAGGAAGAATGGAGCTGCTTATTATGGTTCCGCTCACAAAGAGGAAACTGCTCTTTTTTGCATCAAGTTTACAAGGCGGCGCGATTTTCAGCTGCCTCGCGCTGCAATTTTGCATCCAATTTCGGGCAGAAACCACACTTTCCCCTCTCCTGGCATCCACCTTTCGTGTCGCGTTCGCATTGGTGTGCTTGCGACATGGGAACCAAAGCCTATCCACGACTTCCTGCAAAATGGCACGCAAACACACCTATAAATCCAGGTAACCTAGCTCTCGTCAATATTCCCAGCTCGAAGCACATGTGGTACCCCAAGTTGTCGCGATTGCAAACTTCTTTCTTGAACGGTTTCGCGAAAACGGAAAGGTCGTTGTCTGCTTCGCACAGCGCGTTCATGCGAAAATTTTCGGGATTGCTCTTGTAACATTTCGAACGCCTTTCAGACTAATGCAAAACAAAAATATGAATTCTCGAGTGCCACCATGGCCTAGCAACACACCCCTAAAATCGCATTACCTATGCAGAAATGGCGGGTTACACTACACAGGTGATTAAATTACAGGACGACGGCAGTATCGGTCAGCATGTTGTGATTCCCCGTCACCATTCCAAATCTGCGTGCTTATTTGTCACAATCTAGAATCCCATCCAAATCGCCTCTCCAAACGTTTCGTAAGCCACGTGTCATGAGCTCATTTGTTCTCAGCAAACCGTTCGCGACCTGCCATGCGCGCGCTGCTGTATGCCATGCCGCGAGACTCGCCGTGAATTACGCCGTTGAATGCGGAAGCGTGGTGACGAGCAATGTCAGGGTTTGCAGCAGCGGCGCTAGCGGCGACATCAGCAGCACCACCACGAGCAGCAGCAGCAGGGGTGGTAGAACGGGGAGCAGCAGCAGCAGCATCAGCAGCAACCGCCATAGCAGCATTATCGCTAGTACCACAAGTAACAGCAGCGGTAACAGCAGCAGCAGCAGTAACAGCAACAGGAGCAGCAGAACAGGAAGAGCTATCAGTAGCAAGAACAGGCGGCACACAGAACGCCTTGAAACTGATCCAGGAGTCACTTCCTCCAGACCGACCTCCCCCAGATCTACCTCCCCCTCCACTGAAAACGCTTCCGTTCGGCCACAGTCTCCTCCCGCTCCCCCCGCCCCGCCCGCCTTCCCCCTATTCTCCGCCCCCTTGCCCGTGGTGCTCCCCCCGCCGCCCTCCCTCCCGCACCTGATTCCCAGGCAGCAGCAGCGCCTGGCGCTCTATCTCGACCTGCTTTTGGACTGGAATCAGGTGATTTCTCAGGTGTTTTTTCAGGTGATTCAAACAGCATCTCGCTTGCTTCGTGACTGGCTCGACGCGAAGCGGGTCTGGAGGGGGCAGAGTTTAAGACTGGGGTAAGGGCTCGGGTTTAGGGTTTCATACATTGGGTTTTGGATGTATATTTGGAATGAGCACGTTCACTTTCCCCCTTCCGAACCCAACCCCCCTCCCACCTCCTCTCTCCCCCCCTCCCCTCCTCCCCCCACCCCCCCCATTTTTCCTTGGCTTTCATGCCCTGTCCCCATTTTCCCTCACTTTTCTCCTTCTCCCCCCCTTTCTCCCCCTCCCCTCCCCCCCCCCCCCCCCCCCCCCCCCCCCAGCGCATGAACCTGACAGCGGTCACTAGTCGCGCAGAGGCCGAGCAGCGCCATATAGCCGACTCGCTCTCGCTCATCCCTGTCATTCTGGCCATCACCGCACCACCGCTCCCAACCGCGCCACTTGCTGCCGTACCTTCCCCTGCTGCGCCACGTGGCGCGCTGCGATTGGTGGATGTGGGCACGGGAGCGGGGCTGCCAGGTGTCGTGCTGGCAGTGGCCCAGCCCACGTGGCAAGTCACTCTTGTTGAGTCTCTAAACAAGAGATGCGACTTCCTGTCGCATGTGGTGCGGGAGCTGGGCCTGCGGAACGTGCAAGTGGTGTGCGGCAGGGCAGAGGTGAGTGAGTGATGGCCCACTGTTTCAGGCAGTTGAAGACATAGCATGGACTGCACAGCCCCCCCCATAGTGTCCTTTGCTGTCTATCCTTTGCTTTAAGCCTGACTAAGTTTGCTTTAAGCCTGTCTATCCTTTGCTTTAAGCTCGCTGAGAATATGTCACAAGACCAGTTGAAGACATAGCATGGACTGCACAGCCCCCCCCATAGTGTCCTTTGCTGTCTATCCTTTGCTTTCAGCCTGACTAAGTTTGCTTTAAGCCTGTCTATCCTTTGCTTTAAGCTCGCTGAGAATATGTCACAAGACCAGTTGAAGACATAGCATGGACTGCACAGCCCCCCCCATAGTGTCCTTTGCTGTCTATCCTTTGCTTTCAGCCTGACTAAGTTTGCTTTAAGCCTGTCTATCCTTTGCTTTAAGCTCGCTGAGAATATGTCACAAGACCAGTTAAAGACATAGCATGGACTGCACAGCCCCCCCCATAGTGTCCTTTGCTGTCTATCCTTTGCTTTAAGCCTGACTAAGTTTGCTTTAAGCCTGTCTATCCTTTGCTTTAAGCTCGCTGAGAATATGTCACAAGACCAGTTGAAGACATAGCATGGACTGCACAGCCCCCCCCATAGTGTGCACGGGAGCGGGGCTGCCAGATGTCGTGCTGACAGTGGCCCAGCCCACGTGGCAAGTCACTCAGGTGGAATCTCTGAACAAGAGATGTGACTTTTTGTTGCATGTGGTGCAGCGGTTGGGACTGAATAACGTGCAAGTGGTGTGTGGGACAGCAGAGGTGGGAGTGTTTGGGGGCTACTGTTCCCAACAGTTACAGTCACAACACACTCACAGCACACTCCTCACCCCACACTCCTCACAACACCCATGGCACAGCCCACGTGGCATGTGACTCTTGTTGAGTCTCTAAACAAGCGATGGGACTTCCTGACGCATGTGGTGCAGCGCTTGGGACTGAATAACGTTCAAGTGGTGTGTGGGAGAGCAGAGGTGGGAGTGTGTTGGCGCACTGTTCCTGGCAGACAGCGCAGCACAATCCCCACAGCGCACCCCACAGCGCACCCCACGTGGCACAGAGAATCTCTAAACAAGCGATGCGATGTCCTGACGCATGTGGTGCAGGAGCTACATACCACACACGGTGCAGAATGTGCAAGTGCTACGTGGCACGTCACTTCGGCTGAGACGCTAAACAAGAGATGCGATTTCCTCTTCCCTCTGTGCTGCTACAGGAGGTGAGGAGGGACCCGGACCACAGGGAGGCGGCATACAACTTGGCTGTGTCATACCACTATAAGATCTCTCCCCCACACCCCCTCCTTCCCCCTCCCCGTTCTCCGCCCTTCCCTCTGTGCTGCTGCAGGAGGTGGGGAGGGACCCGGACCATAGGGAGGCCTACGACCTGGCTGTAGCGCGGGCTGTAGCGGAGATGAGAGTGCTCAGTGAGTCAACAACTGTTGTAGCGTGTCCTGTAGCACGGGCTGTAGCACTGGTTGTAGCGTGGGAGGTGGGGAGGGACCCGGACCACAGGGAGGCCTACGACCTGGCTGTAGCGCGGGCTGTAGCGGAGATGAGAGTGCTCAGTGAGTCAACAACTGTTGAAGCGTGTCCTGTAGCACGGGCTGTAGCACTGGTTGTAGCATGGGAGGTGGGGAGGGACCCGGACCACAGGGAGGCCTACGACCTGGCTGTAGCGCGGGCTGTAGCGGAGATGAGAGTGCTCAGTGAGTCAACAACTGTTGAAGCGTGTCCTGTAGCACGGGCTGTAGCACTGGTTGTAGCATGGGAGGTGGGGAGGGACCCGGACCACAGGGAGGCCTACGACCTGGCTGTAGCGCGGGCTGTAGCAGAGATGAGAGTGCTCAGTGAGTCAAATCATTCAACGTGAAGTAACAGGGGCTGTAGCGGAGATGAGAGTGCTCAGTGAGTTGACAGATTACAGGAGGGAGGTGGGTGACATGTTAGGGCGGGTGACTTGCTAGGGGGGTGGGTGACATGGGAGAGGGGCAGGTGACATGGGAGGGAGACCGGAGGGATCAGCAATTCACCCTGGTTCATATTTTGAAACAGCCACCTGGCTCTGTCTCAGCAGTCAGCTAGTCTGTTGTTTTCACCTGAACAGCCACCTGACACATTCCTTCCTCTTTCCCCTGCCCATCTCTTCAGATGAGCTCTGTTTGCCCCTGATTCGAGTGGGAGGTGCCTTCATAGCCGCCAAGGGACCCAACCCTCAGGTTAGTCCTCAGGTGCCGCTTCAGGTGCCCATCCAGGTACGTCTTCAGGTGGCGTTTCAGGTACTCCATGCAGTTGATTATCAAACCTTTCCAGCCAGGCTGCCTTTCGTTAGGACATCGAGACGCCTCAAAGCTCATTACCGAGAGCACTTCGGGACCTTTCTGCTGCTTCTCTCTGTGCACGCGACAGGGGGAGGTGGCAGCAGCATCTAACTCTGCTTCTCTGCTCGGTGCTCAACTTGCGCAAATCTACGAGGGTGGGTGCATACTACTTACCACATTCTGACCTCACACATGATCCGTAGCTGTCAAAAGCTTCCCTGTTTAGTGCTGGGCACGCTCGAATCTACAAGGGTGGGTGCTGCAGCAAAGCTTCTTACTCTGTTGAGTCTCCTGTGCACTTCTTTATCTCCTGTTGTGTCTCACAGCATCCAACCAAGCACTGGAATTCCTGCTTGCTCCCCCCTCTCTTCGCCCTCTTCCCCCCCCCCCACCCACCACAGTTGCATCTTCAAACACCAACGGCCAGCGCACAGCAGTGATCTATGAGAAGGTTGAGCCAACAGCTTCCAAGTACCCAAGGCGACCAGGAATGCCCTCCAAGCGACCGCTGTGATTCCGAGCTGTCTAAGGGCGTGGCACCTTTTTTATTTTTAGTGTTTTTCCGGACGGTCCACATGTTTAGTAGCGGACCGTCCTCATATCGAGTGTTGGACTGTCCGTTTTGAAATTTAGAAACTTCACACCGTCCACTTTGAAAAGCGGCACTTTTCCCACCCCCTCACAAGGACGAAGAACTGTAGCATCGCCACATGCACAGTACCGTCGTAACCCCAGTCAACACCTGTCGCCAATATCGCGTGTAGCCATTTGCGGCTCGGATCCCAACATTCTCAACTTCGCAAGTCACGCGGAAGACCCTCGACATTGAGCCTTCCAGTCACAATGAAATACAGCCCCCTGCACAAACACTTCACACGTTCAGCCTCGTCATGTCTAGGAGCTGCACGAGGCAGATCTGAAGGGGAAGCTGGAGGCGAGGAGTTGGGAGGGGTGGTGGCCGGTTCGTTGTTGCCAGTAGCGCTGGAGTGCTCCATTGTGTGCACAGGTGTGATAGTTCGGTTCGGATTGCTGGGCATTTTGTAGGGTGTGCTCTCCTGGGGGTAGTATCTCGGTCCAATGTGTTGGACCGCGTCGCGGTGGATAAAATTTGTGCCTGCGCGACTTGGTAATTTGTTTTAGGGGAGTTCGCGCGCCAATCATGTGTAAGGACTGTAGTTTCGTCCGTTTGCATTTCGGTCTGACAGATGTTCAGAATGTGAACCGTTGAGTGAGTGGAAAAGTGCCACGGCTGTTCGAACCGTTGGCGACGTTACCACCACGTTCACGACGCATTCTACGAATGTTAACGAAACCGATAACTTCTTCGCAAATCGGACCGTCCGCAATTCGAACCGTCAGGTACAAAATGGTGCCACGCCCTAAACCTCCCTGAAAGCTACACAAGATGCCCAACCCCTGCACGCGAAATTGCCTCGCACATTCCAGAAACCTTGCACACGAAGGTTTTTTCCCGGGCAGTTGCACCCACGTTACAAGCACGTCAACCAATACGAACCACAGAAACAGAAGAGACCGAAGTCAAACAGTCAACGGTGAGTTACAAAATTTTGCTATAAGCCCTTTTTGCCCGATGCGAATTGACGAAACCTCCACGAAATGCATGAATCACTTAAGCGCCCCCTTCACAAGGCAACCTTGGGTTAGTCAAACGGACATCGTGTGTACTTGAATCTGCTTACCTGTGAACACGCGCGCAGCAGTGATCCACGAGAAGGTTGAGCCACCACTCCATTTTCCAGCGTCCCAAAGCGTCCGAACGGACTCTTTCTGGACGGATTCCGGACGTGCAGAAAAAGAGACTTTTTGGACCAAGGCCTGCTACATTCCGGAGTCTGTTTTAGGTCCGACCAAAGAGTCCGCGAAGAGTCCATTTGGACAATACGAAAAGCGAAGGCAATATGTGTACATCACGTACCCGATATACTAAGATGCGTTTTACCAATAAAATTTATACCCAACCATTGTTTACATGATTTTTAATAAAGAACATGCAAAGGCATTTCTACTTATACAAACTGCTAGAAACTAAATAATGCATTGCCAGATAAATATACGAACCCCCATTAGTTAATGCTTAAAAGAAAAATAACCTGCACGGATTGAAGAACAATATTGAATGAGCCACAAGGTCCATTCCAAAAAATAATAACTACAAAATTGCTTATACTAAAACGTACAAACCGTGGTGACTGATGACACATTGTCCAACAAGGTTGAAAATAGTCACCAGAAACGATTGAAACAAACATCTCCATTTACACGGTGATTAATACATCTCTGAATACAAGAAAAACCAATAAGTACAAGACACACTGGCTATATCAACAAATCATTAAGCAAATTGAGCACCACCTTTGATGGGGCCTCTTACCAGCAACAGGGTAAGCAGCACCCGTCACGACCCTTTGCAGCGTCCTGACAAAGCAGCGCCCGACGCGTACCTTAGTGATAGAGAACTAAATGGCGGCTGTGAAATATTAAACAAAACCTTCAGATTGCGAGCACTTTCAAAGGGGAGGAAACAAACAAAACCGCGAAATCAACGTGAAGCTTGTATGTACGTATAAGTCGGTAACCACAAAAAATGCCAACATTGAATCAAACAAACCGACCTGCGTGATGACACATTCACCCTCTATGAAGGAAATCTTCACCAAATGCAACTGAAACAAACATCAGAAGGTAAGCGATGATTAGCAACCGTTAACACACAGGTTCATATTGAATTAAACAATGTAATTACCGCTCTTCATCGCGCCTCTAAGCAGCAGCCGCATTAGCAGCGCCCGTCGAGCACTTAAGTTGCACCCATCTCGTCTCTTAGCAGCACCCGCCGTAGCAGCGTCAGTCTCGCTCCTTAGCAGCGCCCATCGCGCTCCTTAGCAGCGCCCATCGCGCTCCTTAGCAGTGCCCGTAGCGCTCCTTAGCAGCGCCCGAAGTTGAATAACTTGTTACGTAAAAAGAAGACCGTCAAATGCTGCACTGGGGATAGATAGATATTGGAAATAGGAGCGGTATAAGTAAACGACGTCATGGAATGCGTTATTCTGGTTGTATGAATGAATAAAAAACGTAGGACCGCGCACATCTCAGCAAGCGATGAACACCATGACATTGTTGCATAGAAAAGCAGAAACTGGATTTATAAACCTAAATGTATAACATCCGCAAAGCTAGATTGGTTCTACAAAAGTCGTAGTGCTAGGCTAACCAAAACAGATCGTGCGAACAAATGTTGGGCAAGAAATGCTCGAGTGAAAAGCTCAGTTTAAAAAATGGAGCATCTAGATCTGAAAGGGATGGACAAGTCGAGAGTGGTTGGGGGATGAGTTTGGTAAGGTGTGTAGGTAGCTGTGGCTAATGTTTTCCGAGCCTAACCTGCACAGGAAGGCGTTTGTGTGGCAGGTGGTGTGACAGGTGGCAACCCTGGCAACAGGTGTCAACATGTTGCGAAGGAGTTTTTGATTGGATTTTGAGTTTAATTGAACCAACTTGCTTGGTTTACAACCGAGGTGCTTAGTGGTTACGAATCGCGCGTGCGATTGGGAGATCGCGAGATCGATTCTAGCTAGTAAAAAGCAACTTATAATTGGGAGTGTTCGTTTTCTTTCCTAATCTAACAATTTTGTGTTCGGTATAGTGCACCAGGCAAGCATCGATCCCCGACCTTCTGCATAGTAACATGAATCGGAGACTTCTTGGACAGATTCCGGATACTTCGCGTTTTGGCTAATTTTCGGACATTTTTAGACCCTTCAATTTTGGGTGAAGACTCTTTTTGGACACTTTTGGGGGGTCAAATGACACAATGTGGACCACCTAGCTGGCCGGCTGCATTTCGGACCGACACTTTTTGGTGATGCAACAGCTTCCAAGTACCCAAGGCGACCAGGAATGCCCTCCAAGCGGCCGCTGTGACTCCGAGCCGTCGAAACCTCCCTGAAAGCTACTTGAATCTGCTTACCTGTGAACACGCGCGCAGCAGTGATCCACGAGAAGGTTGAGCCAACAGCTTCCAAGTACCCAAGGCGACCAGGAATGCCCTCCAAGCGGCCGCTGTTGTCAGAATCCCAGTCACTAACCACTGGGATAAAAGGGCTTGTTTATATAGCGGGTGAGTGCGCCCATAACCCCCCAGGCCGACGTGCCTGTAACCCTTCCCTAGGATCAATCGGGGATCACTAGTGGACCTCTGACACCCCCCGCACTGGGATGCCCAAGGTGCACACACCGGGATTCGAACCCGAGACCTTCGCTCTGATACCATGTCAGAATCCCAGTCACTAACCACTGGGATAAAAGGGCTTGTTTATATAGCGGGTGAGTGCGCCCATAACCCCCCAGGCCGACGTGCCTGTAACCCTTCCCTAGGATCAATCGGGGATCACTAGTGGACCTCTGACAGCTGTGACTCCGAGCCGTCGAAACCTCCCTGAAAGCTACTTGAATCTGCTTACCTGTGAACACGCGCGCAGCAGTGATCCACGAGAAGGTTGAGCCAACAGCTTCCAAGTACCCAAGGCGACCAGGAATGCCCTCCAAGCGGCCGCTGTGACTCCGAGCCGTCGAAACCTCCTGAAAGCTACTTGAATCTGCTTACCTGTGAACACGCGCATAGCAGTGATCTACGAGAAGGTTGAGCCAACAGCTTCCTGTCAGAATCCCAGCCACTAACCACTGGGATAAAAGGGCTTGTTTGTGTAGCGGGTGAGTGCGCCCATAACCCCCCAGGCCAACGTGCCTGTAACCCTTCCCTAGGATCAATCGGGGATCTCCAGTGGACCTCTGACACCCCCCCGCACTGGGATGCCCGAGGTGCACACACCGGGATTCGAACCCGAGACCTTCGCTCTGATACCATGTCAGAATCCCAGCCACTAACCACTGGGATAAAAGGGCTTATTTGTGTAGCGGGTGAGTGCGCCCATAACCCCCAAGGCCAACGTGCCTGTAACCCTTCCCTAGGTTCCCTAGGATCAATCGGGGATCTCCAGTGGACCTCTGACACTTCCAAGTACCCAAGGCGACCAGGAATGCCCTCCAAGCGACCGCTGTGACTCCGAGCCGTCGAAACCTCCTCGAAAGCTACTTGAATCTGCTTACCTGTAAACACGCGCACAGCAGTGATCTACGAGAAGGTTGAGCCAACAGCTTCCAAGTACC